CACACACACACACACACACACACACACACACACACACACACACACACTCTGGCCATTTTGTATGACACCAACTTTCCTCTACAAAAGCTAACAAGCAAATTTCAAAACATACAGGCCACCTTTGTGCCATAGAATTCAGTGCTTAAAAAACAACCAAACCAAACAAAAGCAAATGAACCAGTGATAACTGCACTAGAACTGTATGGAATTGAATGTTACTTTTTCTTTCTATACTCACTTCATCTCAACTGTTTCCTAAACATGCTGAGTTTGAGGTCTCATAGCAACTTCAACTGAAGATGCATGAAAGTCAACAAGCCTTTAGCCCCTTATTTCTCAGCAGCATACCAATAAACTGAAACATCTCTAAGTACAGAATTTCCAGATCCTCAGCACTTAGCAGGAGACCTGTGAAAAACTAAATACAGGACGTGTTTGAAAGAAAAAGTGATATACTCATTCTGAATTCTGTAAGTTCAGACATGATAAACCATGGTTCAACAGAGAAGAAAGCAGAGCCTACCAATCGTGTGTGTAGGGTTGAAGGGGTCTGTGGGAACAGCGGAGGGTGTGTTGTGCTGCCACGCCCAGCTTTTAGGCCAGGGCTCAAACCTTAACTCATACCCTTATGCTGGTCTAGCAAGTGCTTTCACACACTGAGAGCTGTCTTCCCAATCCTACTTTTACCTCTTTTTATTTTATTGAAACAGTGTCTCCTTACATAGAGCTGGCTGGCTCTGAACTCAGAGGTTCATCTGCTTCCCCAGTACTGAGATTAAAGGCATGCAACAATACACCTGGCCTTTTGCTTTACTTTTGTCTCCTCCACCTTCTTTTTCTTCCTTTTATTTCTCTTCCACCAGCTTCTATGTTTCCTTTCGGTCACCAGTTGGTACTTCATTTCAGTAGGCTGACAGACCCTTCCTTGCCAACCCCTCAGCTTGGCTGAGACTGAGGCCTTTTAGTCTCTACACAATGAGAGGATCTACTCTTCACTCTACATAACGTAACTAAAAGGGAGCTGAGCCTAGAGTTTCCAGTACTTTCCATGGATCTTAAGGGTGCCACAGTCTCTCCACTGTCTGCAGTCAGTGGCATGGAGAGAATATGTATGTGCCATTAGAAGATGACACCATGATATTATTCAAAAGAGCACAAGCTCATATCCAGTAAACAATGCACAGTTAGAGTAGTGAGGACGTTAATTCTAAAGACACTCGGATAGAAAGGGCATAGGACAACAGGTGACCACATTCTGGAGTAGGAGGCTGATTTTTATTTTTTGGTTTAGTTACTTAATTACTCAGTTATTGGGTCAGTGTGTGTGTGTGTGTGTCACTATCTATATGTTCGATGGAACATATAGAGGTCAGAGGACAATTTACAAGAATAAATTCTCTCCTTTGATCACGATGTTACTTACTGAACTTTTACCTGGGCTGCCTTGCTGGCCCTGGATAAAAGTCCAAACAGTTAACAAAGCTTCAGGTATTAAGGTGCCATTCAGAAATCACGTCCCATTGTTAACTCACTCAGTGCTGTGCAACAAGGTCCTGTTCATCAGGCTCTCATCAACAGTCTGTCACATTCTCAAACTTTCCAGTAGATTCACAGATCTCAAACTTCCATGTGTTAGAGCACAGCTAAAATCTAACATTTGCTATGGTCTTTATCGGCACATTTGATACGGATTTTATTTCTATGATCTATTTATACCTTTTTATCAGATTTTTGTGGAGTGTGGCAAAAACTGTCTCCAAGTTTTCATATATTAGACTTAAATTATGACCACCATTTATTTAGATTTAGAAATTTTTCAGGGATGTGAGATTAGATGAATTCTTATCTGTTAGGTTTTCAATAAATTTTGTTCAAGATTCTGGCCATCTGGGATGTGTTGTACCACAGTGTGTAACAGGTTGTAACTTATAAAAACTGTGAAATACCTTCTCCACAGCATGCACTGACTGATCTATGCTTACTTCATCCTTCTGAAACACTGCCATTCTAGTACTCACCAAACCCCTGCCCAAATCTCTATGCCCTTTATTGTATGCTGGAACTGATCTGCTTAGAGTTCTACACTATAACCACATTCGGAAAACAGAGACTCCACATGGATAACCAGCCGTAAACTTTTAAAACATACAGAAAAAGCCCAACTCTGAACAGCATTTGGAATGTATAGCTAAGCGTTGATTAGACACACAAGCCCTTTACAGTTCTCCCTTCTCCTCAAAGGTAAAGGAATAGAAATAAGACCAAGGAAACTGAGCAGCTGTTTACAAAGCCCATGCCTTCCCTCAGTAACCCCAGGTAGGTGTGTCTTTAGTGCAGTTATGAAAATTCTATAGGCAACCATGGAATCAAGAACAGTGTGTCTGATCAAGATGAGAAGAAGACAATGGAGACAAGCAGAGACCAGGTGGATGAGGTACACAGGTCATTCCAAACCAGCAAGAATGAACCATAAGTATGACATTTTATTTTGTCGTCACTGAAAGCACAGGAAGTGTGACACAAACTGTCTTACCTAGTGATGCATAGGAACCTGGATTCAGGGCACCTGCACCTAAACGCCCACTTCGCACAGCCTGTCCAGCTGCATGATGCGCCTTGGCACCAGCTGCCGCATTCACATCAATGTCACTTCGAGAACGCTGCAGGCTTCCTGGAAGGGGGCTGGCTTTGCTGCCACCCACCAATACTACAGAAAACAAATTAGAAAACAAACAAATTAGTTATTTAAATGGCTGGCAAGAAAATGAAGACACATGAACTCGAAAACCATCATGAATTCGTCATCTGGGGAAACACACAATCCACAAGGCAACAGTAGCCAAACTGATAGCACCGTATGCGACAACATACAGTCCACAAGGCGGCACTGGCCAAGTAGACAGCACCATGATGTCCTCTTAAAGTCAGAATGCTCAGTTATTCTCCAGCAATTTTGAATAGTTCTTTGCTTCATTTTTCTCTCATGGAAAAAATGGTGACTTTGATTATAAAACTGACAGGTCTGTTTGATAACAGAAGAAATATGTTTAAGGCTGACTTGTGGAAATAAAACACTAAATAAAATATATGAGAGTATTTTTATTCTTTACTATTAGAAAATGCAAGACAAGTTAGTCTAGGTATTGGGATATTGAAAAAATTAGTGGAGCTTTGTTACTCTTAGAAGTCTGAGCCAAGTCATTAAACTGAAATTTAGCTTCAGTTTTTAAAATAGTTTGACTATATTATGAGCTATACCTCAGTAATAGTTGTGAAGTCATTTTAAAGTAATGAAACACAAGAGACACAGTAGATCACTAAACTCTAAGCTGCTTCCCAAAGCCTTGATGTCTATACATGGCCTGAGTCACAGTATGTGCCCACGATTTGTGTCACTGGGTCATGAAAATATTTTCTCACTGTGGATCACATCAAAGCACTTTAAATGCTACTGCTTAGCTCAGCTGTAACTCTTACTCAAAGAAGTAGTTACCTCTTCCAGCTACAGTTGAAGGATTTGCTGTTGACCATTTAGAAGAAAAAGGACGGCTGGAAGGTAAAAAGAAATGTTTTTAGTAATAAGACTTGGTTGGTCATTCTGATAAGAAGGAAATAGCAGCTGTCAAGAAAGTTGAGACATTTTCCTTTAAAAACAGTTGTTTTCAAGAATTAGCTATAAAGCAAAATAATTGGCAATGAAAAATGGAGACCAGGTTACATTATTCACTCTGCTCTTCAGCACACAGACAACTCAATGTCAGCACTATCGATCATTTGCACCCTGAAGTATTTCACTTAGAAGAAAGAAGACAGCATGGTTCTTAGTAGCATGTGGGCAGCTTGGCATACCAGGCCTTGTTTCATGCCATTCCTCCAATGTCATATCCTGGCAGTGCACTACTCACTGCATCAATTATTTTATGGTATCAAGAAATGCACATAAGTCAAGTGTTTCTACACACTTACACATAGAAACAAAATGAGACTCATTTTCCTTAACTATAGACCAAAGAAATTAACAACAACCAAGTCACCATTTTTTTCAAGGTCTTAGATACAAGCTATAAAAATGACGGAGTTGGAGGGCAGAACAGATTAGCTTCCAAGTGTATGACCTTACTTGAGACTTTCTTGTGAGCTAGATGAGGACCTGTCTGACTGTGGAAGAGAAGCTACACTTCCAGAACTCTTTAAGTACGTTTGAAGACTTTTCTGATATGATGGCTCAAGGGAGTTGTACAACGTTTCAGCTTCACCAGGAAAGTGGTTTCTAAGACCCATATATGTCCTGTAAAGAAAGAAAAGGACATCAGTGACAGCTGTTCACGACTACAGGAACACAAACACACATGTTTAATATAGCCTCTGTGTCGGGTAAAACTTGTGTAAACTGAACAAATTCCAGTGGAAAAACTGCAAGTTTTGAGAAAAACAGACCTCAGTTCACAGCCTTGTCGTGGCTACTTATAGCTCATGTGTCCCTGAGTGACCCATCTCAAACTACAGATGCAGCTATGGAGACAATACTACCTTGAAGAACTATCTTCAGGATTAAAAGTTAAACATAGTCTAGCTGTGGTGGCATATGTCTTCAATACCAGTGCTCAGATGCAGAGGGAGTCGGATCTCTCTGAGTTCAAGGCCAGCCTGGTCTACATATTAAATTCCAGGTAATTAAAGGCTAAAGACTCAGAACCTGTCTCAAAGTGGGATATGGGGTACCAAGAGCCTTACTTAGTATCAGATGCATGGTATCTACTCAATCAACTCGGGTTTCTTGTTGACAATGAAAGCTGGCTAGTCTCTAATAGAATGAGAGCAATGGTGACAGATCACAACCACAAGTAGGTTACTACATGTCTAGCACAAGGTTAGTGGATAAAATGCATTTCAATTTTGCTGGAAAGTTAGTCAAACAGAGTAATTGGGAAATTGCTGATAGAATCACCTCTCAATATAATTCCTTAAACGTACCACAGTATCCAAAATATCTTTAATTACATTGTCACAAAAATGTAGTATAAACTTACTTTCTTGCCTCCACTCTGGCCTCAGCATCAGCATCATGAATTCCCTTCTTAATAGTTTCAACCAAAACGGCTGCATGTCTACACAATAAAGGCATCTTTACATTAATACTTCATACAGAATTTCACCACATACAATAGTTATTTCTATATAATACACATCTACCCCAAAGGAGAGGGATAAGTGAAAGATTAATTAGTGAAATAATTAAGACTAACATCTCCAAACCCACTTCCCTCTAAAGGCAGTGTTGTCAGAGTCCAGGATGGTCTTGAACTCACAATTTTCCTTCATCAGCCTCCAGAGTGCTGAGGTTACAAGTGTGCAATACTACATCTAACATCCTTTTCTCTCCTTTCTGATCGAGATGGAGTCTTTCTATGCAGCCTGGCCAAGCTGACTTATGTTCTATCTCTCAGGCCTCTCCAACTAGCTGGGATTACAGGTCTGGCCTGGTCAAAGATTAGAGGATTTTCTAACAGTTCTCCCTACACATCTTACCCAAATATTGTTTATTTCTGATAGAGACTATAAATCTAAAAGTAAGTATTTTTATAGAATCCTAATAGCAGATAAATATGCAATATTTAAATGTAAAAATTATAAACTTGGTGGTGGAAAATACCTGTTTGGTGGGTTCCTCACTATCCCATAGCTGTAGAAAGTCACTTGCTACAAGTCTGATATAACGCACCGGTTCGTAGCCTTCCTAGTGCTGGGACCTCACCTTATGGTGACCCCCAAGCACAAAACTATTTTGTTGTTACTTCATAACTGTAATTTTGCTATTGTCATTAATGGTAATGAAAATATCTGATATGCAACTCCTATGAAAGGGTTGCTTGACCACCAAATAGGTCAGGGCTCAGAAGTTGAGAACCATTGATCTAACCAATAAATAAAATAGTAGCTACCAAAAAAAAAAAAAAGTTACTTTGTGTCTATGTTAAAACATTTTTCAATTAAAAAAAAAAATAGACCTCTAAGGTCTGTAGAGATGGCTTAGCAGTTAAGAGCACATATTGTTCTTGTAAGTGACTGGGATTTGGTCCCCAGTTTCCACATGAGGCAACTCATAGCTACCTATAACTCTAGCCTCAGGGAATCTGACACCTTTGGTTTTCTAGGATACCCACCCTCCCATACCTATACATATAATTTTTTTAAATTAAAAATAAATGTGAAGAATTCCGTTAAAAATAGAAGTCAGCAATACATTCAATAAAAATGTAGGTTATCACTGATACTTCAAAACTGAAAAGTGGCATGAAACAGTGCATACACAGCCCTGTAAAGAACCAATGAGCTGTCCATCCTTTCCTTCATCTCAGAATTACAACACATGCTATCCAGTGACACGTCTCAGCAGGTATGGAGAAACAGTCCAACAAATTTCTGTTCAAAAAAATTCTCTTACTTTAAATAAGAATGCAGCTAGTGAAACTTACCTCATACATGCTTTTGAAAATGTTACCCAATGCACTGTGGAGGATCTTACATAACCTAGTCTACTTAAGGGGCTGTCACCTAACACACAAACCTGAATGCACAGGAGGAGCACGGCATCCCAGCTCTAAGGAAGACAATCAAGGACAAACGTTTCTAGACAAATGAGACACAATATAAAACAACCTGCATGCCTGCTGCCACAGGAAGGAGAAGAAAACTCCTTATGTGTGTTTGTATGGGTGAGATACTTACCTTTCCAGTGAATGAGTCTGCCACTCTTGCAGAAGCAAATCTAAAAATTCAAATGAACGTCTGAAAAATAAATGTTAAATTGCAATTAAACATACTAAGAAATACACTCACGTTCTTTCATAATACTTCATTTGCATCTGAATTAAACATACAAGATTTACTTTCAGATTATATTAATTAGAAAAACAAAAAAACTTAAAGGGCTTAACTATTATTATGTTGGATAGCTTAAAGGAGTTTGAATCCTATAATTTAACTTCAAAATATTCGCTAAATATAAAGTTCTTATGATGGAGAGAGGCACACATGAAAGCAGAAGGCGAGAACAGGCTCTACGAAGCAGTCCTTGGACTTCATATGTGCTATGTAGTCCTGAGACTATCACACACGTAAGAAAATATGCAGTGCTGAATACATAATAGTCCAGAACTTATGCTCCTACTTAAATATGTGCACATAGAATTTTAAAGCAAAGTCACATGTATTTTCTCCTAAACCTCTAATTCTCAACTTCAGTCATTTTGTTCTTCATTTGTGGGCTTTGGAAAAATGAGCTGTTAGCCAGATTTTACCTATGGGCTCTTATTTTCTGACTCCTAAGATTTCAAAGAGGTGACTACATAACTGGTCTAAAATTTTGAAATTACATAAAGGACATAATGCCTTATTCAGCCATTGCCCAATGACAAAATGCTGTGCAAACTGGATTGCTCTCCAACACTCAATGCACAAATGCTGAGCCTAAAGACACAAGGACTTTCCTTACACTCACTGTGGCCTTGATCCTCGAGGTTAGGCAAGCGCTCTACCACTGATGTACACCATTAGCCTTAGGTCCTAGTCACTGATGGCAATGTGTTTGGAAGAAATCAAGCTACGGGTGGTGGTGCATAGCCTGAAATGACTGCACTTGAGAACCAACGGTGGACCAATTCTAAGGTCAAGACCAGCCTGGCTATACTCCAAGACCTTCTGTCAAAATATATGAATGTTTGTTTCCAAAGAGCATGAAGAGAAAGAAAGGGACCTCTTAATGCTTAATCTGCAATCCATGGTGTGAACTCATCAGTCTCATAATTTACAGATGCACTGAGATATGCACCAGTGAAAACTTGAAGAATTCTAGCTATTTCTAATTCTAGACTCTGAAAGGCAAACAGTGAAATACATAAGCCACAGCTTAAGTGATAAATCTGAGAAACATGAGAGCTCACAGCAGTTGCTTTATCCACTTTCCCTTAAATGGGATGTGGTTAAAAGGCTTGTATCATGGGCTAGAGAGACGGGTGGGCAGGTAAGAGTGCTCACAACCAGCCTGGTATACTGATTTTGAGGCCCAGGACACACAGTTGAAAAAGAGAACTGATTCTTGAAAGCTATCTTCTGATTTCCACGAGTATACTATGGCACATATACACACACTCAGAAATAAAGGTACACACTCAGAAATAAAGGTACACATTTGAAAAATTATATCATGGTTTTAATGGAAAGGGTAATATTAAGAAAGTTATAACTAATTGTTATGTTAAACTTAGAATTAAATGAATTACCTAGTGGTACAATTTATACTAAAAACTCTTTCCCCCTAAAACTTACCTCCTCACAGGAACTGACTTTGATGTGCAGTTGCTTGTTATTAAAGGTATAAGTCGGGGTACATGGGTATGCTGAAAAAGACATTTTAGAGAAGCATGAAACGCTGTGGATGCCATGGAGTGCTTTTGTTGTCTTAGACTTAAGGGCTTAGCCATGGGACAGCCAGGAAAAAACTGTAAATCAGATGCAAAGCAACCTGAATTCCTTAACTGTGGTGATGGGATAGTTTTTAGGAGACAGCTGTCAAGTTACCAATATGTAATGAAGACGAACTGTTCACAGGCACAGAAAGACTTGTAAAGTCTCTGTCTGTCTAGACTGTCTGTCTGTTTCAATCTCTCTCTCTCTTCCCCCCCTCCCTCCCTCCCTCCCTCCCCTCTCTCTCTCTCTGTGTGTGTGTGTGTGTGTGTTGCACAGAACTAATCACTGAGATGACAACCACAGTACACCTACACTCCTAACTACGGTGATACAGTGTACTGTGAAACAGTGATTTTAACAGGACTTTCGCTCTGGGTGGATCACACGGTCCTCAGATTCATGTAAGCAATACATGATGTTTTCCGAGTTCTAATTCTTATGTTCTTCTTTGTGGAACAAGCAGTAAAGTGCTTACTGTAAACATAGAACGTAAGTGATGAACACGTACCACTTTGGCTGTGGCTGTACTCACTTTTCTCATTCTTAATTTAGCCATTAAGCACTCCATTTCTGACATTTTAGGAAATGACAACATTGTTATCAAAATCTCTACGTATCTGGTATCCCACACTAACAATGTGCTCTTTTCATCACTACCTGCAGCACCTACGGTCACAGTCACAAGCACACACATGTGCCTACATATATGCATTACGTTCCATATTCAAACGAGGACACTTTGTAGTCTTCTGTATTATTTATATGCTCCATAATAACTGCATTGCTTTTATTATCAGAAAAATAATTGAAAAGTAATTTTCTTTCCTTTAGAGGTAAACAATAATAATATGACTTAAGAACATGTGTGCGGAGTCTGTAAGAAGCCTACCCGAATAATAAATCTGATCGCTGCACATCCAGAAGTGGCCATGACTTTGGCACTATTGGGGACAAGATTAAAAAGCGTAGGTACGATGGCTTCGGCGCCGTGATCAAACTTGTTTCCCAAAACCGTTGAAAGGTGGCTACAAAGGAACACAAAAGTACTTTAATATTAAATGCAGAGAAGATTTATTTGAGAGTTTTATATCCTAACAATAGCCTCAAAATTGATATGTAGCCAAGGATGGCTTTGAACTTCTGATCCTTCTGCCTCCACCTTCCAAGTACTGAGACTATAGGTGTACACCACATGCCTGGCTGATGAGGTACCAGAATGCAAAGCCAGGCAAGGTTTTATCCATGCTTCTGTCATTTTACTGATTTCCCTCACCTTCCAGGTACTATACAGTCCTTCTTTTTCCTATCTAATAACAGGCAAAGACAAAACCTGGCATCTTATCTATCCCTGTGTAGAGACATGTACAAATTACACGCTCTGTGATCCCAGAATAGAACTATGCACTCTAAGTGAACATTAGGTAAGATTATTACTCTGATTGCAGGTCTGTGTAAGATACTCACATTTTGATGCCCCAACAACCTAAAGTCCAACATGTTTAACTCTTTTTAAGTTCTAAACCTTACCCAGATCAATGTTTCACAAAACATTCTACATTTTGATTAATTGTCCCATTGCTTTTTTTTTGGAGGAGCAGGAGTCACAAATATTCGGGAATTGCTGGGGCTGGATTTAAGTATCCACAACTAAAAATACAACTCTGTATCTCCTAAACTTCACTACTCTTAAGGACATTTATTTGTATTTCTTTTCCACATTTGTAGTTAAGCAACTCACTCCTCCCTCCCTCCCTCCCTCAACCTCTCTGTGCGCATGTGCAAACGTAAGTGTAGCATATGGATGACAATTCAGTAGTCCCCCTCAGGAATACCATCCATTCTCCCTCATTAGCCTGAGATCACAACTAAGCTGCACACTGGCTGGCTGGCCAATGAGACTGGGACTCTTCCTATCTTTATCTCCCCAGTGCTGAGATTAGAAGGACACACTGCAAACCCCAATGCTTGCACAGCAAGTAGCTTACCCACTGAGCTGCCCTCTGAACTCGGACTAGCTTCAGTTAAAACAGTTAGAAAAGAAGTCATAATTACTGACAGCCTTGACAACGTTTGTGATATTCGTCAATTTTAACATATATAGACTCTTTACTTGATTAATGTCTTAATTTTTAGAGATAAGGTCTTAATGTAGTCCATGCAGGCCTTGAACTTACTCATAGCCAAGAGCGATCTTTAACTCTGGACCCTCCTATTTCCACCTGCCAAGTGCTGGAATTACAGACATGTCTCACTGTGCTCAGCAGCTTACTATCTTATTTGAAACACGTGGCTGGGAGACAGTTGTGCCAAGAATGTAGGTTCTTGATTCAGAGAGGCACTCCAGACTTAGACCTATGTCCTAGTGTTCAGTTACAAAGTCAGTTTCCCAACCTCTCGGTCCCTCAAGTCTAGTGTCTTCCTCTGAGGAGTGTGAGCTCTGTTCCAGTGAGCAGGTAATCACATGGGAATCGACTCTGAGAAGCTTGCTGAAAGAGGAGAGACCAAAGCAGGAGGATCCTGTACAGTGGTTTTTCTGAGGTCTCTGTAGAATGTACTAGGCACTAACAAGGATTCTGGGAAAGTCAGATTTAGAAGTTCTCCTGAGGGGCTGGTGAGATGGCTCAGTGGTTAAGAGCACTGACTGCTCTTCCAGAGGTCATGAGTTCAAATCCCAGCAACCACATGGTGGCTCACAACCATCTGCAATGAGATCTGATGCCCTCTTGTGGGGTGTCTGAAGACAGCTACAGTGTACTTATAATAAATAAATAAATAAATAAATAAAGTTTAAAAAAAAAAAAAAAAAAAAAAGAAGTTCTCCTGAATGAGCTCTGGGATGGGGTCTACCTCAGTGTCAGGAGCAATGGTTTTCTCTACTTCTCAGGAAGTTGTAGCTTTCATGGGAACAGCTAGACTCAGGACAAGACGGATTTCTACAGCTCTTTGGCTGTGTCTCTTTTCTCCACTTGGCTATCCTACCTTCTGAAACTTGCTCTCTATATTCCTAATTCAGTGAGGTTGCCTTGCTGTGTGGAGGTCTCTACCCTACATCTTGAAGGCAGTGGCAGGTCAGTACAGCTGTAACCATACTGCTCTGTTATGTTGTTGTTTTTTTTTCTAAGAATTATTTATTTATATGAGTACATGGTTGCTGTCTTCAGACACACCAGAAGAGGGCATCAGATCCCATTACAGATAGCTGTGAGCCACTGTGTGGTTCCTGGAAATTGAACTCAAGAGCTCTGGAAGAGTAGCCAGTGCTCTTAACCACTGAGCTGTCTCTCCAGCCTGTTAATTTGTATTGTTAAAGTATCCCAGCTTTGCATTCAGCATACATCACCTGCAAAAAGTTATTTACTTACTCTGCAGTTTTCCTAGTCTAAGTATGTTTTGGTTTTCTTCTTTTTAAAACTTAGTTTCTTATTTTGTGTACATATAAGTGCAATGGCATACAAGTCAAGTCAGAGGACAACAGACGTTGATGAATGAGTTCTCTCCTACCACTTGAGTCCAGGGAACCGAACTCAGGTCACCAGGTTTGACAAACAAGTGCTCTCAGCCACTGAGCCATCTTATTGGCTCTTAATTATATTTTAAGGTTACATTTATTAATTTGTTTTGCTTTATTGAAGATACAGCATCATTTTGCAGTGCTTGCTTCACATGGCAACCTTGATAACATCCTTTGATTACAAGTCATCCATGGAGTCCCCTGTACAGGATAATTATGTCACCTGGTGCTTCCTTCCTTTTCTTGAAATCCTCATAATTTTTATATCCCTTTTCTTTCCTTAGGACAGTAACACAATAGTAATTAGAAGATGTACTGCAGGTACCTCTGGGTTCCCTGTCTTCAAAAGATGCGCTGATATCCATCTATGAAACAACAGTACTCAGTGGTAAATAGGATTTCAGGGAAAGATAATATGTAAATAGTTTGACGAATTAATGGTGTTATGATTCTAATTTGCTAAGATATCAGAAATAGAGTACTTAATAGCCAAATTAGGAATGAGAAAAAAAAGTATAGCCAATTCCAGACCCGTTCATTTTTTTCCCTATACATTTCAGAGCTGGTATAAAGATTATGGAAGGTGTCTTTTATCTAGTGCTAGGGTCTCAATCTGGGCCTCATACATGGTAAGCAGGTACTTTATTACAGTGCCACAATCTCAAAAAAAGAAAAAAAATAACAAAAAGAAAGGAAGAAAGAAAATCAAAATAAATGAATTTGTATGTATAATAGAAATGATTCGGGAGTTCATATATCGGCTTCTTTGGGGTGATCCTGTTATTGATTTACTTAATGAACTCTGACTTAATGAGTTCTACATTCATTCATTAAAAAAAAAAATAGCAATAAAGATGTGGCGGTACACCTCTTTCATTCTAGCACTTGGGAAAGCTGAAGGAGGCAGATTTCTGCCTAGTTTACATGGTGAGTTCCCAAACAGCCAGGGCTATATAGTAAGACCCTGTGTAGAAAACAAACAGAAACCCTCAGCCCCAGAGAGACATACTTACGCAACAGTGATGCAAGCTTCTCTGACCACCTGGGATCTGAGGTCCTTAGCGGACAGCTTAAGTGCTCCATCCAACAAACGTAAATGCTGGAAAAAGCAGTCATACTGTGCAGCTCCAGCAACAAGTAGTGATCTGATTTTCTTAAGCTAAAAGAGAAATTTCATTATTGATAATAAAAGTTGATAGTCTACAAAGAAAGTATCCAAATTACATCATCTAAACATCAAAAGAATTTTCTTTAAAATGAACTGTATGGGTTTCATTAAATTTACAAAACTAAATTCAGAAATTTTAGTCACACTGAATGCACCATGTAAATAAACATACAAAACAATAAAGCTTTCTGGAAAAGCAGCATTACAAGTTTAGTTACATGTGGAACAGATACATGTACACATAAAAAATAAATTTACATTTTTTAATCATTCTTTTTCAAAGTACAGTAAAATGCAATTAACATTGAAATTTGCCATTTTAAAATATTTAATTGGTGGTATTTATGTACATTCACAACACTGGACAACCACTATCATTCCCTATTTATTAATAGTCTCATATCCTTGGCTTTCCTTCACCCTTCCCTAACCTGTGTGTGTGTGTGTGTGTGTGTGTGTGTGTGTGTGTGTGTGTGTGT